CGATTTCATTGACCTTGGTCCAACTGATGGCGTCACAGGTCAGGTCAAAGATCGAATTTTCACCGTTTACAGGCATTTCAAGAATTGTGTTGTAAAATCGAGTAAAAGGCATGTTATTGTAAATTATCGATGGGGGAATTGTCCGCAAAACACATATTTTGCTAATTGAGGTCGTTGATACCAGGTCAGGTCACAAAGGTTAGGTCACTGAGGGTCACAATACGAAAGTGTCGTATGATGCATGTTTTATGGTCCATCTTACATGGCAAATGAGATTATGTGGGTCAGGCAACCTTTGGGGCCAGTTAACCCGCGCCCCACTGGGGGGGGGGGCTATTCATAGCCCCCTCCCGTTTTTCTGTAATAACTTCCAGACCGCTTAACGTATCAACGCCAAACTTTCAGTACCTTCGGCTGCATCAATTTGACACCTTGTGTCAAAATATGAACTTCGTAGCTACCATAGGTCGGCCGGAAATTACGTCAGAGTGACGTCATGTTTGGCCGATTTCGACGCAAAACATTGAACCACGGCAATCGTTTCCAATAGCTCAGTTTTTAAGCTAGATCCAATTTATTTGCATGAAAGGACTCAGAATAGACTGCGCTATCAAAGTGCCATCTCGGATTTTCGAAATGTTGAAAATGTCTAAAATTTTGTATCATAAAATTCAAAACTTATATTTTTATATTTTTCAAAAAGTTTTTACCTCTTCGAAGAAAATCGGAATATATGTGATACAACGCATGCTTATGACTAACTAGCAAGTTTTAGCTAAATATCTTAAAAAATGGCCAAGTTATACGCACTATTGCAAAAAATTCATAATTATTAATTTTTCAAAGCAATTTTTCAGTACGTATTTGACATCGTACACCAGTATAAATGGCACCATCGTGTTTCTGAGCTCAAACTGCATCCGATAGACATGTTTTTGTTGAAAAATTCTAACTTCAAAATTTGAACCTTTTTTTACCTGAAAGTGACCTTCACCTGACCTAAGCTAAATTCGACTCAAAATGAATGACGCAGACGACATCAAATTTGAAATATATGGCCTAAATGGACCATAAAACATGTTTCACGTGACCGGCGCATGATATAATATTTCCGTGACCTGTGATGACCTGACCCTGACCTGAAAATCAAAGTACAAGTTTGGTATCCTCAGAGTATCTAGAGCATCTGTTCACGAGTGTGTAAACCAAAAATGAGCCTGATCTGACTTGTAGGACGGCGGCCAGAGCCCAAAATGTGAACAAGCCAAAATGCTAATAATTTTTACTTTGACCTGACCTGTGACGTCATTGGTGACCTCGAGGTCAATGAAATTAGGTTTCTCTCGACAGTTTTTCCGGGGCTATCAGACGCCGTTTGAATTTTGACGATCGGGCCAGTAGTTTTGGAGTTAGGAGGAGGGCTATGAAGAGCCCCCCCACCCCCGTAGGGCGTGTTATACGCAGACCCCAGTGGGGCGCGGGTTAAGGTTATGTTCTGGTAAAGGTCAGGTCAAGGTCAAGCCAAATAAGGTCAAATTTAAAAGTTGATATTTTTGCATAAATTGGGTATCGTTTCCATGCAGCTCGTCACGAGGAGTCTAATAGTGGTGTTTGATTTGCGCTAATGGTCTAGAATTGCTAACAAATGAGCAAAAAATTTGACGTTATCAATTTTGAATAGTGTTCTCGCTATAACTTGGCCAAAAAAGAAGCATCAAACTCAAATTTGGTATGTGGTGAATGTGGGAGTGACTCTCATTTATATTCCGTTTTTCTCGAAATTTGAAAAAAAAAAAACTTTTTTAACTGTTTTATCTATTTTTTATTTTTAGGGGTTAAAACCCAAAAAAATTCACAGATCTGAGATTACAGTTTTGTAGCCCCGTTAATTCGACACCTTTTATGTCTTGATCATTTTCTGTATCTTCAGAGCTGTAAGCCTGACAGCTCTTCCCGTGAACCTTTTTTTTTTTTGTTCGAAAATGGCAGAACATGACGTCCTTCTTACGTCATTTGCGGCGAACCTATTATAGCCTATGGACAATTTTTATCATAATGTGTAAAATTGTTGCCCGGAGGGGTCCTGAAAGTTTGGTGACGATATCTGCAGTCGTTTAGGAGATATTGACTGAAAAGGACGGGGGGGGCGTTTCGCCCCCCCCCCTCTTACGGGGCGCGGGTTAAGTCATGATTGTCTCATGGACTATGGCATGGATGTAAAGGATCATGAAATGTACAGTGGCCATTGGCCTTTGATGATGTCGCTTTGTTAACCCACGACCCGTTGGGCCAAAAGGCCCCCCGTGTTTTTTTTTTTTTGCAGATAACTTAGAAACAACTGCGAATTTCGACTTGAAGCCTTCAGTAGGTAACTCTCCGGACATCAATTTTACACAACTCCTGGAACAATTATGTCCCAGTTCATCTCAGGTCACGAGTTATAGAGGTCAAACGGAGGTCATGTTCGACGATTTTTCATCGAAAAAGTTGTTCACTGAGAAAAATCGCAGAAAATCAAGGTTTAAACTTAGCGACTTAAAAATTGGACCGTAGGTATAAAAAGGCATGACAAACAAAATGGTTATCTTTAAATTTCCAAAAATTTAAAAAAAATCCTTAGATCTAGAGATTTTCGAACTCAAAATTTAGATTTACTAGGATATTTTTAAAATTGGAGGAAATTTCTAGAAAATGGGAATATTTGTCAGAGAAACCCTTACGGGTCTTACACAAGCCAAAAATTAACAAAATATCTCTAAAACTGCCAGAGATATAGCCGTTTGAATGACTGAAAAGGTAGCGACTGTTCTTATGAGTTTTTGGGTATTTGTGCTTGAACTCAGTGAGGAATAGTAGGTATTAATGATACCTACGTATCAACCTCTTCCTGACTGAATATGATCCTTTACGTGAGTAAAGTCTCTTTTACGTAAAAACCTGTTTTTCGTTGTAAACCAGTACAATGTGACCCTATTTGACCTTTCTGTGACGTCATAGGTCCAAGAAAATGGTCAAGGAGGTGTCTGTGGTTGCATATATATGACCTGTCTTCATAAAGACTCGAATATTCACAATTTAACATGCCTTTCCTTACGATTCACGGAAGTGTTTTCTGATTGGTCGAGGCTGACCTCTGTTATGACGTCCTAGGTCATCATCCACTCAGGTGACTATCCATATGCCAAATCTATCATATACAATATACATCATATCCAAAGTCATTTTGGAAACTTATATTTCATTTTTATGACCGACTTCTCGACTCGTCATTGTAAATTGGACTGATTTCATATTTTTGACCTCCCTGTGACGTCACAGGTCAATTATCAAAGTTATCGATATCTTATCTTGTACATCTCGATGAGTTCTTTCGATTGCCGTTTGAATTTTTCCGATCCGGCTATTGGTTCCGGAGATACGACGGGGGCCCTTTGTCGCCCCCCCCCTCACCCTACAGGACGTGTAACCTGCCATACCTCAACGGGGCGCGGGTTAACTTAATAACTTTCTGGGGCACTTAAGGAGGCTTTGGCGAGAGAGTGTATGACAAGTTTACTCCATATAATCGCAATTCCGGCCTGACATGGCCTCGAGAAATAGGTCACAGGTCAAAAGTCATTAAGATCAGGGTCATGAAATTGTTATGGTGTGTAAAGAATTTTTAACTCGAGGCTGCGGGAAGTTTTGTGACAATCGGCCGCTTTTTACGCAAGCCTTTCGTGAAAAGCCGAGTGGAGGGGTCCAGCCGTTTGAGTGCGAGGGTTAAATATACACATCTATATTTATGTGGAAAAGGGTCGGTCGAATCCCTCCGCATGGTCGCTTGGCCCTGATTGAGCTAGAGCTCTTTGTAAAGAAACGAACCGATGACGTCCTTCAAGGTCCGAGTTTATTAGCTGACCTTCCAGGTCAGGTCAGTAATCGGAAGCTTGAAAAAATTAGGATCTGCTTGACTTTCTTGGAAAGAGTTTATGTATTTTGGAATCCTGATTTCGGATATTGCAATCGTTTGCACGATAGTATTTGTGCGGCTGTGGTAGGTTTGGTCAGGTCAGGTCGACCGTTAAACGTCTTTAAGGTTATTGTTACACTGTTACAGCATCTACCACCACTGGCAGCTGCGCTGCGTGCTGCAGGCGTTCAAAGATCTACAGATAAAGATGTTTATTGTTTAAAAATACTCGATCTTAAAATTGGTTACCAGTCGCTGCATCTCGCAACGGCGCTTGCCCTTTTCTCCGTGTGACTCAGTTAGGGGCGAAAGCGGCAGTGCGGCCAAATTGGTGATGTTGCGGGGAAAGTCACCCCCCCCCCAATGAAAAGTATAATGACATCCTCAGAAATTTTAAAATTACATCATCACGACGTTTTTGCTGTGAAAGCATACCTAGTGTAGGAATACAGATTAAAAATGTTCCAATGTACGATTCGCACAGTCATACTCGTGCTGTCGCGCTTGCAATGTTGTTTTTTTACATCTTTAATGACAATATTTGGAGTTTTTTTTTTTTACTTTCCACCAGAGCTTGACGTCAGGTATAGTTTTTCCACATTACTTGTAAAAACTGCACCTAAAATGAGGCTGAAGACGATTTTTTTAGATAGGGACATCTTCATACGACTTTTTTATACGTCCTCCCCCTAACGCTAAACCAATTTGGCCACACTGAAAGCGGCGAGGTCCCACCCCTCCCCTCGGCTGTGGCGTATGCAGAAAACCGACAGGGCCGGCGATCGTAAAGGCTGTTTTTCGTTCGACACCATTCCGCTCGTCACAGTGTACTACTTGCCTGCGTGTGTGTGTGCGTTTGTTTTTAGCAGGTACCCGTTGCCGGACATTTCTTGCTGATGCCAGGTCATACTGGGTCACGGAGCCTGACATGTCGTGACGGGAGGATGCAGGGTTTTGTAAACCAGTGTGGCCACTGCTGCAGTGGTCAGGCCCATCGCCGTGACCACAGCCCCACACAGCCACTAACCACCCCGCCGGCCCCCTCCCGGCACCGGTCCTCGAACACTACGCCCGGCAGCTGACCTTTACCTGACCTCTGACCCTGTTCCGTGCCGCCGGGCGCTCCAAACCAGTTCTAGCCTCTACCCCGGGTCCTCAGCTGAGACCATAGGTACTATGCCGAGTGAGGGGCAGCTCGTGCTTGGCAAACGGGGCCGGCGCACAGTAGGCGATCGGGCATGTAGATTGTAGAGTGCATAGCCAAGCGAAACCCATCGATGTTCATAACTTGCATGCTTTCCATGCTGGGACTCGTATATTTCAGACCAGCAGTCTCTAATATCTGTTGAACGATTGCAGTATTATGGCGCATCATAAAAGTCACTCTGACCTTCTAATCGTTTATTTATCCTTATGTATGACAGGTATAGCAAGACATATCGAATTTCTCATCACGAACTACAATTTGGCCTTAACTCGCGGCCCACACTGGGGTCTGCGTATAACACGTCCTACGGGGGGATTCATAGCCCCCCCCCCCCCTCCTACCTCCGAAACTACTGTGCCGATCGTCAAAATTTAAACCGCGGCGTCTGATAGCCCCGGAAACCTGTCGAGCGAAACCTAATTTCATTGACCTCGAAGTCACCGATGACGTCACAGGTCAGGTCAAAGTAAAAATTATCAATGTTTGGCTTGTTCACAATTTGGGTTCTGGCCGCCGGCTTACAAGTCAGAACAAGCTCATTTTTGGTTTACACACTCGTGAACAGATAATTTAGATACTCTAAGGGTACCAAACTTGTACTTTGATTTTCAGTTCAGGGTCAGGTCATCACAGGTCACGGAAAGCTTATATCATGCATCGGTCACGTGACACATGTTTTATAATCCGTTTAGGCCATAAATTTCGGATTCGATGTCGTTTATGTCATTCGAGGTCATGTTGAGTTGAATTTAGCTTATAGCTCAGGCCGAAATCGCGAAATGCGTCGAAATCGGAATCGAAATCGAAATCGGCCGAACATGACGTCACTCTGACGTCAATTCCGGTCAACCTATGGTAGCTACGAAGTTCAAATTTTGACACAAGGTGTCAAGTTGATGCATCCAAAGGTACTGAAAGTTTGACGTCGATACGTCAAGCGGTTTAGAAGTTATTGCAGAAAATTGGGAGGGGCTATGAATAGCCCCCCCCCCCCCAGTGGGGCGCGGGTTAAGCCGATTTGAAAATTTGACCTAAGGTCAAGGTGACCTGACCGGAAAAGGCCATGTTCCATACCAGCGATCCGCATCGTCGACCCGAATACATTCAAGTGGTTGCTTTGGCTCTAAGTGTCTACCAAAAGTTATTGCCGAAAAACTGCTATTTAGATTTACATTTCATGACCTAAGACGACCTCGTGTCTAAGACATGGGTACACCATATTTTAGCACTGTGCAGATGTTTACTTACGACGTCGGCAAGAATTTGTTTGGGACTTTGACACGCATATCCGTAAAAATTTAGGCATTGGAATTCAAAATTATATCCCGAAAGGTAATTTCGGGGGCGAAGACGGTTAACCTAAATCGTTTCAGTTAATTGCGACTTTTAAAAATAAATCTCAGTCAGCCAATCTTTTGAAAGCCGTGGCTGTGGCTGTGACGCCTGTCTCGGCTGGCGCTCGTTTCAGACTCGGACGACGTGGAGGCGATTCTGGCCGAGTTTCGGGAGAACGGCCGCGACACCGAGTACCGTCCCGAGGCGGAGCTGTTGAGCGCGCGCCTCCTCACCCGGCCGCTGCTCGAGGCCAGGCGCAAGAGCAAGAAGAGTCTGCCCGACCTCTGCGTGTTCTGCAAGAACAACGGCGAGACGGCGCAGTTCTACTCCAACCACATCCTCAAGGTGAGTCGCCGGCAGCGGGCAGAGCAGAGCTTTGTCGACTGAGGCCCGCCGCAGCTGTTACATAAGACAGTGCCATTGACCAGTCAGGGCAGGGTTCAGACGGTGTTGACAGCCCGTATGTACGTGCGGATTGCATGCTGTAAGAGATGTGTGGGGTCGTATCGTGACGGTAATTTCATCAGCACGGGGCTGGAATTTCATCAGGCTTCTGAGCTCGTGTCAAATATGGTACCTTGGAGCATCCTGCTGTCGCCGGGTGAGTACTCCAGTGGCGCGTAAAAAGAAAGAAACGAAACATAGGAATGTCGCTCGTTAGTGGCAATTTAACATTAGCATAAAACATTTCATAAATTAACACGCAACGCATGGAAGATTGACGGGCTAACATTCCGATGGTTTCAATGATTCACGATATTCATTTGCAGTATTCGTCGCATTTGCTGTTCCATGAAGTTTTTCTTTCTTTAGTATATGCTCCACAATAGCCAGCTTTCTGAATTTCTTCCGATATCAATTGTCGATGTCAGTACTTCAAGCCTTGGTACTGGGAGCTATCCATCTGTTTGTTAGTGTTAGGACTACAGAGCCCTTGAAACACGATGTTTTACTTAATTCATTCAAAAACAAGCGTCATGAAGTCTATTGGAATCTCACTAGGCAATTTAAGCACCTGTCTCACCTTTGAAAACTTAAAATATACTTAAAGAAAGATCAGGGTTACCAGATGATCCAATATGTTGCTAAAACAGTTTGATGCCATTGCTTTTATATGATCGTGTGCATACCATGCAACCTAGTTATTACGTTGGTAAAGGTACGAGCCCCTCCTGCATTCTGTAGCCTTCACCGAACGCCCACCTAAATAAACGACAAAATAGCTCGAAATCACGGCAGCACGGTTGCCGTATTTCTGGGAACATGCGGTACTCCGCTGCTTGTTGACTTTGATGACAGCCAGCCACACCCTGCCGGTCGGGCCTGCGGACATCAAAGGCGGGCCGCTGTAACGTAAACAGTAGCGGTCAGCTTCGGCATGTCCAGACGGCCGGGGCGACATTTTCGCAATATCGCGCCGCGCCGGCCGAACGCATGATCCGATGGAATGCCGCGGTCCTGTCGGCCTTTTCGTGCACGCCTCTGTGCCGTCGGTGCACGGACTGCACGGCGAGCCGCTCCGCCGCCACTCGGTCCGCCGCGGGGCACAGAGGACACCTGGGCCGTGTGTGACGAGTGCAGCCGTCAGGCGCAGCTGCAGCTGCCGAGCCGGCCGTGTTTCTGACCCGACATGTCTGTGTCTCTGCCGCCAGGACCAGCGGGGCATCGTGCGGTGTCCCGTGCTGCGCGCCTACACGTGCCCCACGTGCGGCGCGCGCGGCGACAACGCGCACACCATCAAGTACTGCCCGCAGAGGCCCGTCTGCAAGCCGGTGCTGCCGCGCATGATCCGCAAGACGGTCCACTACTGACTGCCGACGCCGGCGCCCCGGGCGGTGTCGAGTGGAACTGGGTGTTCGCCTGTGCGAGCGACGCACCATTACTGTTGTCACCGTGGGATGTCTATTGGGGCCGTATCATCGACGGAATGAGAAGGGACAGTGAGCGATATCCACGTGTCTTTCCATGTTTTATGTTAATTCTTAAATAATGTAAGATAAAAATACCATAGCACCACGGGTGGTAATGGTGCATTTGTCTAACATTGTTCATGAATTAATCCGTCAAAGATTACATGTTTTATGTTTAGTGCTTGTGTGTGCGTGTGATATCATATGTGATGCACCAAGTGAGTGCGCGCGTCTTAAGAGGATCGTTTTTGTTTTATTGTATGCATTGGGATGTCGTATTGGGAAGGTAACCGTTTTACAGAAATATCTACAGCGGCCAAGTGCGAATCATACATTGGCGACTTGTTTTGTTTTATTGTCATGCCTCATATTTATATGTGATTCGCTCATCTGTTAGCGGTACGAAATTCGTCCAATAAATTATTTTGAAAGAAATATTTGGTGATAAATGGCTGTGGCACAGTGTAGGAAAATATAGCATCAACTGAGTAAATCTGGTAAGTCGGTGACCCTTTGACCTTTGTACGTGGATACGCTGCGGATACGCTTTGTACGCTGCGGAGGGATTCAGGAATGTATCGCAATCGTACCCTTAAGATATCTCAGCCGGGTGTGAAAACACGAAACTATGTGAACTGAGCTGAAATCTGACGACATATATCCGGCTGGCCAAACATGTGGGAAGGCGCCGCCCGGAAGCGCCAGCCCCGAGCCATGCCTTGCATACCCCGCCCGTGTCCCGAGAGTTCTCAGCTGACGAAAGTTCGCCAAGCCGCCGAAACTCTGTAGATGATGACATGTTTTCTGCTGAAGCCGTGACCGGGCTGGCGGGTGGAAGGTGGGGCTCGCGGCGGACCGAAATGGCACCATCGCGTGCCGCCGGCCCCTGACGGTAGAGCCCGTCACGGAGCTGCTGGCCGGCTGTTCTCGGCTGCAGCGACAGCGACGCGGTCGGCCGATCCCATCCTCACGTGATGGGCGCCGAGTCCGTCCTTTCCGCGCCGGCCTGGTCCGCCCTTCCCTCGTGGACTCTGGGCTGGTCCGGTAAATCCCAACCCGCTCTATTGGCATCGGGGATCTATGTAGCCCCCCCCCCCCCCGCCACCACGGCGTCATTAGCGCTGCTGGGCTGATTAAGCGTCGTCCTGCAAAGAGCCATACACATTGCTGGGCTTTACGTCCGATCATGTCGTGCCTTATCGGCGTGGTGTCCGGCTCGTTTCCGTACACGTGTAAAAATACATACCTACCTATTCTAGCTAGAACTTCGCAACAGTTCGGCCCCACGCTTTGCAGCAGCTTGTCCCTCCAACTGCGCATGGGCATACTTCTCTTGTGAATCGACCCACCATGAGCAGTTCTTTCAGTAGTGGGCAGCATTTCACCGCCGGAAAAGCCCGTTATAGACTGTGATCTTCGTTTCTTTTTTTCACGGCCGCTTGCGTACCTATACTCGTATGTGGGGAGGGTCGTTCGGGCCCCCCAACTGTTCAGTCCGTGATCGAGCTGGAGCTTAGGGGAGAAATGAGCGTGTTGCCCATAGCGAGAGGAAGCCGACCGGCTACCCAACTTTAAGGTTCTTTGTCATTGGTTGGCTTTCCAGGTCAGGCCAATGACCCAAAAGTAGGGAAAAACGGGACCTGCCAGAACATTTTAGAGAATCTACCATGTTTTTTTTCGGGGTGCTGATTTCCAAGTCTAGTATTTGCTTTGATCAACGATGACTTATTCACGCATTTGGGAAGGTAGGGCCATGTCGAGTCAAGTCAACCGAAAGTCCGCCGGCAATCCATAATACCTGTGTAAACCTTCACTGACAGGTTCGCAGCATGTTGGATATGCGCCAAAACACATCAAATGAATGCCAAATCCGAAATCAGCTCAAAAAACTACTCTGAAATGTAAATCTCTAAAAAGTTCCCTAAGGTCACTCAAGGTCAATGACCTGACCCTGGCGTTCAAGTGACCTTAGTACCCGCCATAATGCATGGAAAAAGCTTCATTTCACATGTTCACACGTTTCTAATCACAAAAAAGTCTGGAAACGCACGGATACCTAATGTGTGTCGACATGCGCCAAGTCGTAATTCCGGTCTAAGGTATCGGGTACCAGGTCACAGGTCACACATAGATAATTTGTGTCAGACGGCATTTTCGACGATGTAGGATACAATTTTTGAAAATTTGTTCTTTAACCCGCGCCCTGCTGGGGTGGGGTGGGGGTGGGGGTATTTCAACACCCCCGTTGTGGTTTTTCGCAAATATTTCAAAAACGGCGGCGCTCCGCGCCTCCGTTTTTGGTACACCTTATCATACATCAATTCTACACATGTTTTGAAATTTTCAGACCAAGGTCATTCAAGTTCAGGTCATCAGGTCACTTGAAGTGACCTCACCTCATCAAAAGTTTAAATGTCTGTCATAGCTACACCAAATAACCGCTCGCTTTGAAACTTTCAGCGATTGCTAAGAGCAATAACATGTACAAAATTCATATCTCAGAATTATGATATCGATGACCTAAGGTCAGGTCAATTTTGCGACTTCCCCATTACCTATAAGTCAATGGGAGAAAATTGAAATGCGCCTCTTTCAGTGGCGGATCCAAGGGGGGGGGGGTCACATGGGTCATGGCCCCCCCTTGAGGCCCGGGGGCCCAAAGACCTGCCAGGGGCACCACCGGCCTATCAGGGGTATCACAGTCCTGACAGGGGCACCACAGGACCGCCAGGGGCACCACAGGCCTAGCAGGGACACCACGGGCCTGGTGCCCCTGGGCCCTGACAGGACTGTAACGCCCCTGACAAGCCTGAAGTGTCCCCGGCAGGCACGTGGTGCCCCTGACAGGCCTGAGGCGCCCCTGCAAGGCCGGTGGTGCCCCTGGCAGGCCTGTGGTGTCCATGGCAGGCCTGTGGTGCCCTTGCTAGGCCTCTGGTGCCCCTGGCAGGCTTGTAATGCCCCTGGAAAGACTGTGGTGCCCCTGGGCCCTGACAAGCCTGAGGTGCCCCTGACAGGCCAGTGGTGCCCTTGCTAGGCCTCCGGTGCCCCTGGCAGGCCTCTGGTGCCCCTGACAGGCTTGCGGTGCCCTTGGAAGGACTGTGGTGTCCCTGGGCCCTGACAAGCCTGAGGTGCCCCTGACAGGCCCGTGGTGCTGTTAGGCCTGTGGTGCCCCTGGCAGGCCTCTGGTGCCCTTGCTAGGCCGCTGGTGCCCCTGGCAGACCTCTGGTGCCCTTGCTAGGCCGCTGGTACCCCTGCGCCCGGAGAGGACTGGTGCTCCTGAAAAGTCTGAAGTGCCCCTCGGCAGGTCCGTGGTGCCCCTGACAGGCCCAAGGTGCCCCTGTCCCTGCGAGGCCGGTGGTGCCCCTGGCAGACCTCTGGTGCCCCTGGCAGGTCTGTGGTGCCCCTGGCAGGTCTGTGGCGCCCCTGGCAGACCTGTGTTGACTGGTGCCCCTGCTAGGTCGCTGGTGCCCCTCACAGACCTGTGGTGCCCCTGGGCCTTGACAAGCCTGAGATGCCTGGCTACGACAGGCTCGTGGTGCCCCTGATATTTATTTATTTATTTATTTATTTCACGTCGTGAGGCATTCCATCATACAATGGCTATTCATAGCCTCGAGTCAAGAAGGTACAGTCGGTGCAGGTGCAATAGGTGGGTACATAAAAACACACATGCATGCATACGAGTGAGTGAACGGCGTCAGATATAATATAAAATAACGTCAGCGAGTCTGATCAGCCGTCATTCTGACTCCTCAGAAGCCTCTCACGCAGCTCTTTCTTAAAAAGAGAGTGCTGCATATCACGCATCGCTGGTGGGAGTCTATTGAATGCTGTCACGTGAGAGTATAAAAACCTCCGCCTCCCAGACTCTGATAAAATCTGGGGCGTCACGAGATGGTCTGACTGTCGCGTGGATCGGCGGGTGACATCCTGTCGAGTGATGAGACCACTCGAGAGTGCCTCTGGCTCGGATGTGCGCAGGATCTTGTTTAGCAGCGTCAAGCCATGGTACAGATACAAGTTATCAGCGGTAAACCATTCCAGCTGTCGCAACACGTCGCTAATGTGGTCGAATTTCCTCCGGCCGGAGATAACACGCGCACAGAAGTTGAGGACTCGCTGAAGGCGGCCAAGCTGAGTCTTGTTCGCAGACCCATACACGGTAATACAGTAGCGTATCAGCGAGACAACGAGTCCCTCGACCAGTCGGACCATGCAGGACTGTGGCAGGCAGTGCCGGCTGTGAGCGAGGCCACACAGTGTACCGGTGCAGCGGCGTACAACGTCATCAATGTGGGCCGAGAACGTCAGGCTCTGATCAAACACGACACCCAGGTTCCGCACAGTGGGGGAGCCGGCGACAGTGGCGCCCATGAAACTGATGTTGACAGGTGGAAGCCGCTTAATGTTTTGCCTGGATCCGGTTAAGATGAGCTGAGTTTTTTCTGCGTTAACTTTCAAACCATTTTTGCTGAACCAATGACCTAGTTTAACAAGAACGTTCTCCATAATGACTACTAAGGAGCCAATGTCGCCGGGCCCCCCAGTGACCAGAACCTGAGTGTCATCGGCGTATTGCACAATATCCGCGTCTTTGTCAGCGTAAAGAGGCAAGTCATTTGCATACACGGAGTACAACAGTGGCCCAAGCGCTGACCCCTGGTAGGTACCGATGGCATTGGGGAGCGGTCGAGAGGTGCACCGAGAGCCGACGGACATCTGCACACAGACCTGCTGGTAGTGGTCGCTTAAATAGCTCTCGAACCACCGTGTGTCAACGCCGTATAAACACAACTTGTTCAGCAGACGGTCATGCGGAATAACATCGAAACACTTTGACAGGTCGAGTAATGAGATAAGAGCAACTTTGCCATGATCCATCGCGGTAAAAACTGAGTCGGTGACGGTAAGAAGCGCGGTATCTGTACTATGGTTCGGCCTAAAACCATGCTGACTAGAAGAAAACAGGTGATGTGATGAGAAGTAGTAAAAAAGCTGTTCGTACACAACACGTTCGGTGATCTTGGCGATAGTCGGTAAAATAGAAATCGGTCGGTAGTTTGAAATGTCGGTAGATTTAGTCGATTTCTGAATCGGATGTACGAGCGTCAGTTTCCAAGCGCGAGGAACATGATGTGACACGAGGCTCGAGTTGACAATGTGCGTTAAAATATGGCACAGCGACGGCAGACACTGTTTTATAAAATGCACGCAAAGTCCGTCAGCACCGCACACCTTACTGCTCCGCATTCTCCCCACCACTCGGCGCAGGTCGTCCGGGCATATCGGGGTGACCTGGAAAGCCCCAGTGGAGACGCGCGGCAGGCGGGTCGGCAGCTCCGGGCCGGCCGCTGTCACCTGTCGAGCGGTCCTCGGGCCCACCTCCACAAAGAACCGGTTTAGTTCGTCGGCGTCGGCGGCGGGGGTGGATCTGTCGCTCCGCTTCGGAGCCACTATGGGCTGCACGCTGCGCCACAAACCGCTCGGCCCAGCCCGGTCCACGCGCCGCTCCAGCTCCTCGCGCGTGTCGCGCCGTATCGCCGACCGGACCTGGCGGTTCAGCTGCTTGTAGGTGTCGATGTGACCGTCTCGGAGTGCAGCCCGCCGCTGTGCCATGAGCTCCTTGGTGGCATCAGTGACTGGCGGGGCGACCGGGTTCCGCACCCTGACACGTCTCTCCGGGAGCAGTATGTCCAGAATGGGTCGTGTCACTGCGAGTAGGTAGTCCCACTGCTCCTCCGGGCTGTCACTCGCATACACTGGAGTCCAGTCCACCTCCGTCAGCTGGCGATTGGCCTCGTCCGCGTCAAACCTGGACCAGCACCTGGTGGCAATGGTGCAGGGCTGTGGCCTCTGGTCCGACACGGACAGCAACACTCGCGACCAGTTATGGGGACTGTAATCACAGTGGACAACACCGGCCCGGTCGACGCTCTGGTTGGTGATTATGACGTCGATGATGGAGCCAGACGCGCGGAACGTCGGCTCGGTGGTGTGCTGCTGCAGGGAGTAGCCGCGCAGCAGCTGCCGGAACTGCTCCGCCGCCGCGCTGTCCGTCTTCATATTGATGTTTATGTCCCCGGCGATCACAATTGGACCACTGTGCCGAGTGAGAATGTACTGGAGCTGCTGCTCCAGCTCCGCCAGGTCGGCTGTCACTCTGGCCTGGGTCTGGATCGGTGGCCGATATACCGCGCACACCATGACACGGGCCGGGCCGGCACGGACCTGGACCCAGAGGGTCTCCAGCCGTGTACCGGCAACAGGCGGGTCAGGTGTTTCCACGGTGGTTGCCTCCAGCGGAGCTCTAATCGCCGTGGCAACTCCACCGTAGCCCTTGCCATCGGGACGGTCACGCCGGCACACTTGGTAGCCGGGGATCGGAATCAGCCTGTTGTGTGTCGCAGGCTTCATCCAAGTCTCATTCAGAATTACCAGGTCATATCCGTGCTCGGCAATGTCATGCCTCAGTGACAGGAGCTTCGGTTTCAGTGACTGTATGTTGAGCTGGCCGATGTATAGCTGGCCGGGTCGGGCGCGAGCTCTCCAGAGCCGCCCTCCCCGCGCCCCGCGCCTCCTGCTCCGCACCCCTCGCCGGGTGCGCCCGCGCGTGCCGCCGTCGGCCACAGTCGCCGCCGGGATGGGACAGTCCATACCCCAGGGGCATGTGACCTCGGCGCGGTCAGTGACACGGCGAAGAGGCCGGGCCGGTCGGGCTGCGGAGAGCTGTCCGCGCAGTCGGGCGTCGGCCGGCCGCGCCGAGCCGGCCGGGGCGGCACAGCGTCCAGCCCGGCTGTAGGGCGGCGCGGGGGCCGGGGCAGCAGCGAGCACCAGCAGTCGAACCGCAGCCAGCAGTGCCAAACAGCGAAGCAGCTCACAGTGCATAGTGATTGCAGTGCAATAGCGTCGCGGCACGGCCGACGAGACCTCAGTGAAAGCGCACGTGAATCTCCGTCTCGTCACGCGCTCCTCATCACACGGTCGGCGTCGGCGTCACACGGCGCCACACACAAGCACTGCTCACAGGCCGTCCTCGGGTAGGTAATATCAGGTCACGTCCAGACTGATCGCCGTCACTCACTGTGTCCAATCACTCGCACACGCACGCAAGGAAAGGTTTCACACTCGCTCAGAGTACCGGCAGTCACAGGGTCTGTCACCTCCGGCACAGTGGGGCAGGACGAGCCCCGCGCGCGTCCGGCCGCTGGCGCCGCGCAGCGAGAACTGATAGACCAGTGGTGCCCTTGCTAGGCCTGTAGTGCCCCTGGCAGGCCTCTGGTGCCCCTGCTACCCCTGCGCCCGGAGAGGACTATGGTGCCCCTGAAAAGCCTGAAGTGCCTCTCGACAGGCCCGTGGTGCCCCTGGGCCCTGACAGGCCCAAGTTACCCCTGCGAGGTCGGTGGTGCTCCTGGCAGGCCTCTGGTGCCCCTGGCAGGTCTGTGGTGCCCCTGGCAGGCCTGTGTTGACTGGTGCCCCTGCTAGGCCGCTGGTGCCCCTCACAGGCCTGCGGTGCCCCTGGAAGGACTGTGGTGCCCCTGCCCCTAGGGGTGCTCATGGGCCCAACAGGCCCGTTGTGCCCCTGGCAGGCCTGTCGTGTATACTTGCTAGACCTGTGGTGCCCCTGCTTCCTGGCGGGCCTGTGGTGCCCCTGGCGGGCCTGTGGCGCCCCTACAAGGCCGTAGGTGCCCCTGACAGGTTTGTGGTGTCCCTGGAAGGACTTTGGTGCCCCTGACAAGCCTGAAGTGTCAAGGACAGACCCTTTAGACGCCAGGGTCAAGTTCGTCGGACTGACAACGATTTGCTTACCTGATAACGTTCCTGGTAAGTACACACTACTCAGCGTCCACAACATATATACACATAGCACATTCATGTAGGTATACTTGCTTACAATTGGTAAATGTGGTTGTGGCTAAGAGTTAAGATACTGACTAAAAATAAAAAATAAAAATAAAAAACTGAAAATGGGGGCACCACCAAAATGAAGTGGACGAAATCCGTTAAGTTTTTAATTTTGGGTATAGGTAGGGGCACCACTTCGATTCATGACCCTCCCCTTGGAGTTTTCCTGGATCCGCCCCTGGCCTCTTTTGGATGAAAGACATTATAAACACTCCCAAACACTGAATAACAAGTGGTTTAGACACACTGAACATGAAAATGGTGTCCGTGACCCCTAATTATGCCCCTGAGGTCATCTCAGGTCACGAATGGTATCTAACAGTTTTTTTGCAAATAACTTTTGATAGAGGCATGCTAGAGCGATGAAAACAGGGCTGCGGAGTCGGAGTCGGAGTCGGAGTCGGAGTCGGTCGGAGTCGGCAGTTGTGACCGGAGTCGGAGTCGGAGTCGGAGTCGATTTTAGAAACCCGAGCCGGAGTCGGAGTCGGAGTCACCGAAAATCTGTCGACTCCGCAGCCCTGCTAGGTCTGCGGAGTCGGAGTCGGGAGTTGGAGTCGGTCGGAGTCGACAATTCTGCCCGGAGTCGGAGTCGGAGTCGGAGCTGGTTTTTGAAAGCCGGAGTCGGAGTCGGAGTCGCCGAAAATCCATCGACTCCGCAGCCCTGGATGAAAACGCCTTAGATGTGTTCAGCTCAACGATACGGATCGACTGATATGCAACATGACCCTTTCCGGTCAGGCCATGACCTTGACCTGAGGTCAAATTTTCAAGTTGACCTTTCAAGGTCAAGTTATAGTTTATTCGATGCGTCTTGACGAGAGGAACACGATGCCGGTAAAAGTAAGCTCCTACAAGGCTTGGGTCAAAAGTTATTGCAGGAAAAACTGTTCGAAAAATCTATTTTTGCAGTTTTTGCCCCCTGCAGGCAAAACCGTTAATGTTAGGTCAAATCTGAGAGAACTACTCAGAAAGGGCGTTAATAGGGCTATCGAATGCGTTTTCCGCAGCGCTGTAGCTCTATTGGTTCCCGAGTTATGCGTTGGCTTCTTGGAAATTGTCGACACTCCACCTGGAAATCGGCGAAATTTTGTCTTCAATGACCTCTGGTGACCTGACCTTTGACCGGACCAAAAAATTGACCGAAGTGATTTCGTCATTATTTTTGATGCTCTTTCGAACGCCGTCTTCCGCGTATCGCTACGTGGCCCAGGAGACGAGTTAGAAGGCGGGGTGTTCAAACACCCCCCCCCCCCCCAGCGGGGCGTGGAAATCCAGGACCCACGGTTCGTCGGAAGGTCATCTCAGGCTCAAAAGAAACGATGTATACCATTCGAAAGCTTACGGTGAGCTGAATCCAAAAATGTATTTTTTATCAAAATCGATCGATGGCCTTTTTTGAAAATTGCGTTTTTCTAAAAACTTAATAATCTTTTATTCAACGGGCTGTCCCGAACATTCTTGAAAACATAAACATGTATTTTTGAGTTCCAGTGAAAGCTGAACGCCAAAAGAACAATATTTAGCGATGCAATATTTCCAAACATTAATATGCGTCTCTCACAGCCGAAAATAAGGCGCAATCACACAGCTCAGTGTCACGATGGACCAAAGTCAGCCACACAGAAGCGTGAAATGACCCTTATCGACTCGCAGACCCGGCGCTCTCGGCCCGCCTGACCGGCCACGGAAAGAACGTTCGGCTCTCGTTCTACTAAACAAATGTCAAAGTTGTCAGTTTAACTGTCCACATCGCTATTAAAGCTATTCAGGATACCCGTGAAGAAAATTCATTGTTCTGTCATCTTCGCATCATGCATTAATTTGCATCTGTTCATGTCTACTTTGCTCAATTGAGCTTGGTATCATGCCCATATAAGGAAAATTGACCGCGCTGAAATGTCAGAGGCTGCACCGGCCTCAGCTCGGGTGGAGTGGGGGTAGCGCCCGGCGGGGCAGGGTAACCTTTGACCGGTCGCACGGCCGAACAGCTGTCACCAGTACAGCCTCTGACAGTGAAACCCCGCTCACTTCCCCTGCGCGGGCACTGATCGCAGCTGGATGGAACAAAACATGTATAAGAAAAATGTAAATTAAAGCATGTTGTAAATCAAGCAGAACAATGAATTTTCTTCACAGGTATCCTGAGTAACTTTAATAGCGATGTGGACAGTTAAAGTGGCAAATATTACATTTGTTTAGTAGAACGAGAGCCGAACGTTCTTTCCGTGGCCGGTCAGGCGGGCCGAGAGCGACGGGTCTGCGAGTCGATAAGGGTCATTTCACGCTTCTGTGTGGCTGACTTTGGTCCATCGTGACACTGAGATGTGTGATTGCGCCTTATTGTCGGCTGTGGGAGACGCATATTAATGTTTGGAAATATTGCTTCGCTAAATATTGTTCTTTTGGCGTTCAGCTTTCACTGGAACTCAAAAGTACATGTTTATGTTTTCAAGAATGTCCGGGACAGCCCGTTGAATAAAAGATTATTAAGTTTTTAGAAAAACGCAATTTTCAAAAAAGGCCATCGATCGATTTTGATAAAAAATACATTTTTGGATTCAGCTCACTGTCAGATTTCGAATGGTATATACCGTTTCTTTTGAGCCTGAGATGACCTTCCGACGAACCGTGGACCCCCAGCCGGTCGCGGGTTAACGCTATTGGTCTAACTTCTAAGACTCACATTTTCGTCTAGATTAAAAAAATGACTGGATCAATATGTGTTGCAATCTGGCCAAAATCCGCGGCAATGGCGTCACGAAATCGTTTTGCTAAGTTCGGAAACAATTTCGAAGACAATGTGAAATTGATATATAAAAAGGTGTTTAGATTTTCAGCAGTCGCAGCGTTACGTGCAAAGTTACTACGAATATCTGGCAGGGGCGTTAACCCGCGCCCCGCTGGGCTATTCAGCCATACGCGCCCTGCTGGGGGGGGGCAGATTCTGCCCCCCCCCCCTGTCTAACTTCCAAACCGATGGTCGTAGAAAGACGGGGAAAACGGCAATCGAAAGCTCTCAACAAGGCGGATCTTTAGAGCCCAAATTTTTTTGCTTAACTAGGTCAGAGGTCAGGTCAAGGTCAGGTCAAGGGTACAACATGCAAGTTTCTACAGTATCGGCCTTGCACCGTAGTTGCCGAAGAATGGACTGAGACTGATTGCCCAAAACGTGTTCTTAGACTACCAAGACAATATTCGTTGCATACAATGTCATTCAAAGTTCAAGGTCAAGGTCAGGTCAGGTCAGGTCAGGTCACCAAAAACAAAATATGGAAAAGGGCATGTGCGACACATGTTTTATGGGTCATTTTACGCATAAAATTCAATAGGCACACTCAATAAGTGATATGGACCACCTCTGGATGAATTTGAGGTCGAGGTCAGGTCAAGGTCAGGTCAAGTGAGGTCAAATTTTGAAGTTGGTTTTTAAGGCCTAAAAAGGTGTCTATCTGATACAGTTTTTCACGGCGAATCTAATGGTGCTATTTTTGTTTCCGTACGAGGTCTAGAACTTCCAAAAAAATCATTTTTCAAATTTTTTGTGTGTCATGACGTCATAAAATTTTGAATAACTCCCACATTTTTGAACCGATTCTTCTAAAAATTGGTATGTAGGTGCACATAGACCACTTCTCTGACATATATTCCGGTTTTTTTCGATACACTCAAAATTTTGGATTTTATAATTATTTTTCCAAAAAAGTCAGTTTTTTGAAAAAAAAATTGGGCCAAAATCCAAAATTTTCAAAAACCGAGATATCCATTTGATAGACAAAGTAGAATCACGTATAATCTTTTTTGTTACGTCTTGATTCCTTTAAAAATGAAGATGTTAGCGGCGTTTGAAATTTTGCCGTTTTTTAGGCGAAAATGGCGAACATGACGTCACTAAAACGTCAATTTCTCAACAAATTTCCGACGGATTTCGCTCAAATTTTCAGGGAGCGTGTCAAATTGATGTATGATAAGGTACTGAAAGTTTGGCGTCGCTGGCGTAACGCGTTTAGAAGTTATTGGCGAAAAACGGGAGGGGGGCAGATTCTGCCCCCCCCCCCAGCGGGGCGCGGGTTAAATGTCACCCCCCCCCTCAGACAATGGTGGGTCGACGCTTTCTATAGAAAATATGCGCTTTGGGTCAGCGGTGAGCGGGTGACGTATAGGTACTTTTTGGTAACCATGATGACATTACCAGAATCCGACTATTGACCCGGGTCGACGGGTCTTTCTCGACATGATGCAATGGCGCTCCGTTCCGGTACGACCTGACTCCTCTCCCCCCCACGGTACCTACCGCCCGATCCTGTCGCCACTGACTGGGTCTGGTGCTACCTGCTGACTGCTCCTGAACCCCAGTGCGATATTCACTGTCTGGATACGGTGCGAGCGGTGTGGTGTTACCCATCGCCGTTCTGGTAGACACTACCTTTGATTTAATACTGTCTGTTGCACTCCTGCAATGTTTTGGCCGAAATTCAAATGCCGTCCGTCTACTTTCCTGTGTAGCCGCTTTCGCTTCAGAAGTCCTTTTTCAGACAATACCTACTGTTAGTCTTCACTGAGTCACTCTGCATCTTCATCCATTGTAGGTAGCTATTGTTTTCGCTGCCTTATCGCCTTCATGCCGGTGCCGTCCGCATCATCCTCTCAACTGTACGTGCAGTTGCTACTGTACACGAGCCCCAACTCTAGCCGTCTCTCCTGTCCAGTAACAACCGATAACATTGATATCGTCTGCCGGTCCCTGTATGTACAAGAGCAGCTGAGGTTTTATGTGCGTGCCCTCTGACAGCTTATTTTTGTTCCCTGTGAGTGTGCTGGGACAATTTACTCAGGGTCGCTGTACAGTAGCAACTGCGGGTCCCCGTACCAGTACCGTCTCTTTTCATTCATGATAGCGACCGCCTCTTGATAACCTTCCGTTCCAGCTGGGCGCCTGGGTCAACAGCCGACCTCCCCCTGAGTTTCCCAGCTAATAACCTGACTGCTGGGTGCCACTGCTATACATTACCGTCTCCTTCCCTCCCCTTCTCGCCACCTTTTTCTCTCCCCGGCTTCGTTACGGCGGTCGTGGCCGAGCGTAAATCACACACCTGCCCGGCAGGGGGCCGGCCGGCCGGCCGACCCGGCTGCTCTCCACTGCCGGCTCGGCGCGGCGCGGCGCTGGCCCGACCGGCCGCAGTCGGCCGCTCACGTCGACCGACCGCGCACGGCCGCTCACGCCGAGCCACCGGGACATGGGCGACGCAGAGGAGGCAGCCAGTCGACCGAGTCGAGCGCGGTCCGGACGGCAGAGCGGTGCGCTAGGGACCGAGTGGCAGCCCGCTGAGCTGCCGCGCTGGTGATCCACTGAGCTCCGCGTAGGCAGTGGTGACACACGTGTCAGCAGGGGTCCGACTACCGCCCCCGCCGCGCAGCCAGGGGTGTGCCAGAGGTGATATTAGTGGCGAGTGTCTGCCGTCGAACGGTGACCTGGTGTCGGCGGCACAGGCATCTGACGGTGCTGATCAGACGGTGATCGAGTGTCGGGTTATCGATCTGACGGTGATCCGGGGTGCCGGACAGTGATCTGGGGTGCCGGCGGACAGCAGTCGTGTGCCGGCGGACAGCGGACATCCGGCGGCGCCGGTCGGCGGCACGCGGTGTCCGTGCCGTATTGTGAGCCGTGCTCGTGCCGTACTGTGAGCTGCTGTTCAGTGACGTCGACGGAACTCCGGCACATCCGTGTGATGTAACCGCCGCCGGGCGGCACACACTAGCCTACCTGGAGCGCGACCTGACACCCGCCAGAGCGATCCCGTCGAGCTGAGCCGGCAGCCAGCGGCGGCGGCGAGCGGTCCGAACCGCGTCGGCCCTGACGACACATTGCCTACAGCCGGAAGTGGCCAGTTGGCGGGAGGTCTGCCACGCGAGCCGGGCTTCCCACCACCCCCGTGACCTATCCCAGACCGCCAATTATTTCATGTGAGCTGTCGGCTATTTGTGTTGGCTGGTGGGGGTCGGCCGCTCGGCCGGCTCGTCAGTCTGAGAGCGGGGCTGTGGCAGCTGTGGTCGCGGCTGCAGGCGCGCTGTCGCTCGGTGGAGCCGTGCCGTCCGCGGTCGCCGCCGGGGTCAGCCGCCAGCGGCGCCGCCCGTGTCGGCGGCCGCCGCCGACCATGCGCCCTGTGATCACCGCTCTGCTCGCCGGCCTCTCGCTGGCAGTCTGCGCCCGCTGCGCCGCCGCACGGTGAGTCTCTCAGCGTCTGTCGTCTGCACCTCTCAGACTAGAGCTCTCCTGTCTGTGCCTTTCAAAGCCCTGCCGTCCGCGCCCCTCAGACAGCCTGTCGTCCGCGCCTCTCTCCAGACAACCTGCTGTCCTCGCCCCCTCTCGGCGAGTCCTGCCGTCTGGGCCTCCTCTCATGCAGGGTCCCGCCGTTTTGCACCCCTCGTAGCCCTGTTCGCTCGCCGGAGGACCGCCAATCGGCGGTGCTGCACCGGCACGAGCAGCACCGGCGACTGTCTGCGGCGCAGACTCTGACTCACGGCCGGGAGCTGACTGTCGATATGTTGAGGTCGGGCCCAGCCCGGTGCGAGCTGCAACAGTGCAGCCCTGCCATGCAGGGTAGCGCGCCGTGCAGCCATGTCTGATGGGGCGGGGCTGCGACAAGTAAATAGCCAGTTACGCGTCATGACTAGCGGGGAACTTCCTCTGACTGTCATCCACCCACGCTGACAACGCTTTGGGCACTAAATCGATATCCAGTAGTGCATAGCATTATCAATTGACGAGAGAGAGAGAGAGAGAGAGAGAGAGAGAGAGAGAGAGAGAGAGAGAGAGAGAGAGGGAGAGGGAGAGGGAGAGGGAGAGGGAGAGAGAGAGAAAGAGAGAGGAGAGGGGATGACATTCATTTTTAACCGAAGGCCTGTGTTCAATAATATCAACACCATTCGTTGAAATGTTTTTTTAACAAGCTTGAGTTCCCGGACAATTAGCATACGAGTATATTAATAATTATCGAAGGCGAAAGGCCTCAGCCTCTAAATGGATAGGTGAAATCAACATTTCCGCCAGCACTGTGATCACCAGCACGTAGGAACACTAAGTCACATCCCTGAAAAAAAAACACCGTACAATTACGGTAAGTCATGTGAGATGACTTTTAACCTCATCTGCAAGTTACCTACCAGCCTTGGCAGCCACTGACATTATGCTATAGGCATAATTACGGACACGGTAGTTACCCTGTGGTATGTGTGGTGGTTTTAACTGTCACGGGTTCACAACCTTCAGCCGCAGAGCCTTTAGCGAAATCTGCAGGTTCACACCAGTTGCAGAGACACAGCGAGTGGCCCCGTGACTTACGACCTGTGACCTGTGCTTCCTGACCTAACCTGCACAATATCGCCCGAGTGGCCGTGACCTCCGACCTGTGACCTGTGCTTCCTGACCTAACCTGCACAATATCGCCCGACCTCTCCTTCAGCTGGTATGACTTGAAATTTGACTATGCCTCCTGGCTAGACCTATGTTAACCCGCGCGGGGCTGGGGGGGGGTAAATTTTACCCCCCCCCCCCTCGCGAATTTTTGCGATATCTCAAAAACGGCGGCGCGCAGCGCCGCCAAACTTTCAGTACCTTTTCTTACATCAATTTGACACGTTCCCTGAAAATTTGAGCGAAATCCGTCAGAAAATTTTTGAGAAATTGACGTTTTAGTGACGTCATGTTCGCCATTTTCGCCTCAAAAACGGCAAAAGTTCTAACGCCGCTAACATCTTCATTTTTAAAGGAATCAAGACGTAACAAAAAAGGTTATACGTAATTTTACTTTGTCTATCAAATGGCTATCTCGGTTTTTTGAAAATTATGGATTTTGGCCTAAATTTTTTTCAAAAAACTGACTTTTTTGGGAAAATCATTATAAAATCCGAAATTTTGAGTCTATCGAAAAAACCGGAATATATGTCAGAGAAGTGGTCTATGTGCACCTACATACCAAATTTTAGAAGAATCGGTTCAAAAATGTGGGAGTTATTCAAAATTTTATGACGTCACGACACACAAAATTTTTGAAAAATGACTTTTTTGGAAGTTCTAGACCTCGTACGGAAACAAAAATAGCACCATTCGATTCGCCGTGAAAAACTGCATCAGATAGACACCTTTTTAGGCCTTAACAACCAACTTCAAAATTTGACCTCACTTGACCTGACCTTGACCTGACCTCGACCTGAAATTCATCCAGAGGTGGTCCATATCACTTATTGAGTGTGCCTATTGAATTCTATGAGTAAAATGACCCATAAAACATGTGTCGCACATGCCCTTTTCTATATTTTGTTCTTTGGTGACCTGACCTGACCTGACCTGACCTTGACCTTAACCTCTGAATGATATTGTATGCAACGAATTTTGTCTTGGTAGCCTAAGAACACGTTTTGGGCGATCAGTCTCAGTCCATGACTCCATTCTTCGGCAACTACGGTGCAAGGCCGATACTGTAGAAACTTGCAATTTGTACCCTTGACCTGACCTTGACCTTGACCTCAAACTTTAAATTAAGTACATGTTTTTAGTATTTCGTGATGAGAGCTTTCGATTGGCGTTTGAATTTTCCGAATCGGACCATTAGTTCGGGAGATAACAGGGGGGGGGTAAAATTACCCCCCCCCCAGCCCCGCGCGTTCGGCTGGAGACCCCAGCCCCGCGCGGGTTAACTATCTGACCTGACACATGCCCTCTGCCCCGACCTGTGCTATCTGCAATGGCATGCGTGTGGTCCCTGACCCGACCCTTCATGTGTCCTCTAAACTGACCCGACTTCTGAACTAAACTGACCCGACCTTGTCCTCTTAGTTGACGTGACCTGTGTCCACCCGACTTCCGCCCTCTGGACTGACCCGACATGTGTCCTTTTAACTGACCCAGCCCGTGCCCTCTGAACTGACCTAGCATGGTCCCTCTGGATTGACCCGACCCTTGCCCTCTGAACTGACCCGACCTGTCTTCAAACCCATCTAGACTGTGCCTTCTTACCTGACCCGTGCCGTCTGACATGGCTTAAGCCGTCTCGGAACTGACCCAGTGACATGTCCCCGTTAACTCGACCTGTAACCTCTGACCTGACGTGCGCCCCCTGACCCGACCTGTGGCCTCTGACTTGGTTCGTGCACTCTGACCCGACCGGCGACGCTTGGGCTCTTCATGACCTGCCTTGGGCTCTGTTCTGACCTGTGACCTGTACCCCTGATATGAACGGTGCCCTCTGAGCGGATCGACCCCTCTGACCCCGCCCTGTGCCTTCTGATCTATCTCCTGACCCGACCGGTGATTTCTGACCTGACTCGTGCCCCCTGATCTAACTGTCTCCCCCTGACCCGTCCTGTGCCCTGTGTTGACAGCGGAGACCGGCTGCAGGGGTGTCAGCAAGTGTGCCAGGACAGTTTGGTGCCGTGTGGCAGCACCGCCTCCAGCAGCCCTTCCAGCAGCGTCAGCAGCAACCTCAGACGGTCAGTGGCTCCAACTGGGAACAGCATCCGCGCGCTGAAACGGTCCCAGAACTGCCGCCCCTGAACTACTGTGGGATAGCTTTTCAGTTGCTCTGCTTGACACTCGGTATTAGCAGTCAACAATTGTGATAGTTCGGCTAAGCGCTTACACTGATTGGCATCATCTGACACCCGGAACACTTGTTTTCGCTGTAGGCCTACTTACTGACTGCTGCATGTCGCAAGCTTATCCATCATCTGGGCGTGGAAACGCAATTTACCAACACCCTAAATTGACGCCGATTGTTATCCAGCTGGGAAACAAATGTTAGTCGTCTGTGTCGATGTGCATCTACCAGTGCTCAACCAGTGTTTAGCGTTGCGTGCCGCCTTACAAAACGGCTGACAAGTGCACCAGTGCGCTGCACGCGCACTGGCTCCCGTGCCAGTGCATGGAATGCTGGGTGGGGTGGCATTACGTGCTTTCATGTCAAAACACGCCAATTTGTTGCATGCAAGGATGTCAGACGTGATATGGCGTCTGACCCCTAATATGGGCCGTCGAGAAAATGATCCACAATTGCGGTCCACCTTCTATTGGTATAAACGGTGACGAAGAATTACCGGAACACTTACGTACAATTGAGTACGAGTAGTGCGAGCGTCGAGGTCGATGCAGCACGATAGAGCTCGTGATAGAGCAGGTCCATGGTTTTTATCTAACGGTAGGCGATTATACCCAACGACGCTGATATTTCATGCTCGTTGAGCTGCCGCCCGCCCGCCACTACATAGTTCAGCGTCTTCCAGTCCGTTTCCTAATTCCTTGGTCTTTGACCTAATCCGAGGTGTGTGCAAGAACCATCCGATAAAGCCGCACTTTCATTCATACGCTAGACGTCCTGAGTGTACACTACTCGCAATGATCTTGGCGCATATCTTAACTGATCTCCAGTGATCGCGATCGGCGGTTATCCTCCGTCCGTCGAAGTGGAGCGGCTGCCTCCCTCCCCCGGCACCGGGCGGTCCGTCGCGGTCCCGCACGGGCCGGCCCGCTCCGACGCCCGGCTGAAAGGACGCCCTTGACTGTCTGGCCATGTCGAATTGGTGTGAGGACGGGCTGATTCTGGCCGGCGCAGGACGGCTCTCGGGCTGCGTCTGTGGCGCGGCGGTTCCGACGCCCTGTGCCCGACCAGCCGGCGCCGGCCTTGGCAGGTGACGACGACCGTCGGCGACCGCCAAGCTGCATGTCTGCACCGCATGGATCGACCGGGGAGCGGCCGCAGTGAAGCACCGTCGGTCGCTGCCGGTCTTCAGCGTGACGATGGGTGTGTCCCGGGCCGTCCCACGCCGACCAACTGCCGGCGTCCTGGCCTCGATAGTGCCGGTGAACTTTCACCCTTCACCAAAAGTGTCGGCAGCGTATTTTTCCGATCGCTTCTTGCTAATGTGAGCGAGGTGTCAGGAAAGTAAGTTGCCATGACTCAGTGGCGGTTCGGCCGAACTGCGGCCGCCGCCAAGGCTGGCGTGCTCAGGTGTCGAGTTGGTCCAGCTGCGCCCACGGACAGTTAGACGGGCGACTAGCGCCGCCTCTGACGACCCTTTCCTCGGCCACTTAAAAATCCTCCGTCTTTGATGCCGGCAGGGGTTATTGTTACACCGATACCGAGCCAGTGACTGATAGTTTGTCACCCGGCGACGCACAGTTATTGTCTAGCTCACGGGTCACGCCCTTTGTTTGCTTTTTACTATCGTCGTTGATAAGTCCTTGAGCTAGTGACTTCCTCGTGGCGTGTAGTCCGGCGCTCGGTTACCGAGGACAAAACAGAATCACGGCAAGTACCGCATAAAGCGACAGGGTAACGGGTATTTACGCCGGTTGGGCAATCACTGCCGTTACACTGTAAGTCGGTCTCCAAGAGGCACTGGTGACACCAGAAGAATGTGAGGTGGGGCACTGGTCGCCTGTCCGAAGAGCTTAGCATTTCTAAATCACCTCCACGAATCAAGGAAATATTCGAAGGCATTTCTTTTTTACATGCTTTAGCAGCTGTTCACGTGTCATGGAAAAATGGTTCAGTCCATACTTGGCCGAAGAAGTACAAATAAAAGTGTTTCTCTTTACCACTCGGGTTGCAGCCCTCAGCGCCGTCCAAAGAAAGTTCACTTAAGTGCAGCAAAAGCCGCCGTTTTCTTTAGCGTGATTACGCTAATTTATCGAACAGCATTGATCATGCAGTTTGCACTTCAAAACCACCTGAAGTTCGATTAATGAGGACGCAGCAATGAGCAAAGGCATGTGGAATTGGGCGCCTGTCAGGGGCTCGTACAGTACAACCTCGCACGTGCAAGGATGTACATACATACATACATCAAAGGGGACACGAGATTACTTCCGAGCGCGATCGTATTTTCGATGACGCTCAATGCGGAGGATTGAGGAGTGTCCCCATGAGGGCGAGTCGTTCGTATTTTCCCCGAGATGCTGAATAGCTATTCCACACTTTGAAATAAGTGACGCGACAAAACAAATGGCGAGGGCGGATATCCCTCCTAAGCAATGATTCGTGACCGAACTGACATACCCTCGTCATACTGGGACGTTCTAACAAAAACTCTTTTCAAACAATGCGTGTTTGGGACTAGTTTAGATTCAGCTGCCTCACGTTTAGCCCATGATGTGCCGACACGGCGGAACTGGCGGCACCATCGGTATGTCATCGCCTTCGATCGCTTGTAATGGTCTGCAGTGGCACTGTGACTTAGCTACACGAGCCACCTTGGCAGTCGGGGCGGCGCAGCATACCAATCGGACCGCCCGGCACCCCGATGGACAGGGACGTGTCTCAGCCGTCGACCGCCAGCGCGTCTCCCCGTGCCCGGCACCATATCTGAGAGACATTTGAATAAACGGTGAGACAGACCACGGCAGACGTCATGTCCTGTCCGTCAGAGACTGACCGCGCAGATGGGAGGGCTCAGCCCTTCTTCTTCGTCTGCTCTTATACGGACGGGTCAAACATAGCCCACTCACACAGTCCTGCGGCAGCGGCGGTAGACCGTGGCGACCAGCAGAGCCTGTGCGCGACTTTGCATTCACCGTCGAGGGTCAGACAGTCTGCCGACCTACCAGAACTACATAGTGGCTTGGCTCTCCGGATTCGCCCAACCACCTTGTTAGGTCAAGGCAATGCACGCTATGGTGTTCCGGGAGTGAGAGGGCTGCAAGTTGGGAGCGTTCTCCCACGAGGCTCCAGGCTATGGCCGCTCCTAGCTCCAGTAGGTAGCCCTATTTCGGGCTATGATCGTTTTACCCGTCAGCTGTGGCTATTTTATATCCCCATCTGCATGTTCTGACCGTGTTATGTACTCATTTGCTGTCTGGTGGTCACCTATGTGCCACGAAGCATATAGCCACGATTAACATAAGCAGCCACGAAGTCCGAAATAGGATGCTCTAGGCATTTCTTCTCTGCAGTCTGACCGTTCTATGCATGTGCCTCCCTTTGCCGTCTGTGTCCGTTAATGTGCCCCCTTCGGCAGTCGGTGACCGTCAACGTGCCCCCTTCGGCAGTCTGTGAACGTTTAATTGTCACCCTCTGGCCTCTGCACTCTATGAAAGTTCCATGTGTCTCCCCGGCAATCTGACCGTTCTGTGTCTCCCTAGGCAGTCTGTGACCGTTCTGTGTGTCTCTCTCGGCAGTCTGTAACCGCTCAATGTGTCTCCCCTGGCAGTCTGTGACCGTTCTGTGTCTCCCCCGACAGTGTGACCGTTCTATGTGTCTCCCCCGGCAGTGTGACCGTTCTGTGTCCCCTTCGGCAGTCGGTGACCTTTAATGTGTCACCCTCTGCACTCTATGACCGTTCTGTGTCTCCCCCGACAGTCTGTGATCGCTCAATGTGTCCCCCTCGGCAGTCTGTGACCGCTCAATGTGTCTCTCTCGGCAGTGTGACCGCTCTATGTGTCTCCCGCGGGCAGCCTGTGACCGTTCTATGTGTCTCCCCCGGCAGTCTGTGACAGCTATGTGTCCCCCTCGGCAGTCTGTGACCGCTCAATGTGTCTCCCCCGGCAGTCTGTGACCGCTCACTGTGTCTCCCCCGACAGTCTGTGACCGTTCTATGTCTCCCGCGGCAGTCTGTGACCGCTCAATGTGTCTCCCCCGGCAGTCTGTGACCGTTCTGTGTCTCCCCCGACAGTGTGACCGTTCTGTGTCTCCCTCGGCAGTCTGTGACCGTTCTGTGTCTCCCCCGGCAGTCTGGGACCGTTCTGTGTCTCCCCCGGCAGTCTGTGACCGCTCAATGTGTCTCTGTCGGCAGTCGACCGTCGGCGCCCAGCTGCCGCAGAGTGCAGGGTCTGACGCGGCGGCAGCGCGTCTTCTGCCGACGTCACCCGGACATGTTGTCGGCCCTGCTGGACGGCGTCCGTCGGGGCACCAAGGAGTGTCGCCGCCGCTTCCGGCACGACCGCTGGAACTGCCAGGCGCTCACTGAGACCGCCGGCGGCCGGCGACTCGACTTCGGACACGTCCTCGTCAAAGGTTAGCCTGCTGTGCCTGTGCGGCGTAAGGGGGGTACTGTGGGTCACTCCTGCAGCAGGCTGCTAACCGTCCGGTGGGCCGCCAAGCAGACTGCGAGCATTCGACAAGAGCGATGGCATCAAATGTCTGCCTGCGAGTTTCCAGTTTTTTAGCTAAGGGCGGAAACGGCCCAGGCTGATGGCATGCCACGGATGGCCACGGATATTATGTTGCTAACGCCGAATGCGGCAAAGCTCTGTCTATATCAGCGAACATACCGTGAGAATGGTGCCCCTTCAGCGGATTAATCTTCCGTGATGAAATTTTTGCAGACAGTCCTTGTACTCCCAGATGACAAAGAGCTAAGTCGGCCGGAAAACACAGAACACTGTTTGTTTGCCTCTGAAGAAGCTGAAAAAGTCGCGATGACGACAAAATATTTGAACTAAATAAGAGCTACTCTCATGAAGCTTTTATAACTACGTAGCGACATCGGTCTGTTTCATCAATAATGCGTCATTCGTTTTCAAACCTTCTCGCTTGCATGTCTTCTGCCAAAGGTGACATTACCTTCGCGAAAATTCAGCATTTTGGACACGTTAGCTTAATTAGATACTCGGTACAACTTGGTGATGTTATGAAATTAAAATCTGAAGTTTCTAGGCCTGACTATATGTTTGGGTTGAATGTCGTTATTCTAAAGCCTGGGAGTTCCCTTGATTCCTTGAATACCACTCCCTTTAGCATTGAACTGTCACGAGCCAAGGACATTTTTCTTGCAAAACAATAACCCAGAATGTGTATTCTGGGTTATTGGGTTATTAACGCAACCTTTTGATCGAAGCTCTGGTGCTTCCTCACATTCGGTATTGCGCTACTGTATGGGGTGGTTGCAATAAAACTCAGAAAAATCGCTTGCAGAAAGTTCTAAATTTTGCTGTGAGGATTGTGGTGGGTCTCAGAAAGTTTGACCACATTACAGAGTCTAGAAGCCAGTTTAAGTGGGGAAAGATAGAGGAGATCATTGGCACACAGGACAACGCTATGATCAAACGCACACTTACAAATCCAAACGCCTCAGAGTATCTTCGAGAGAAGCTCCTCAGTCGGGCCGACGTATGTTCTCGAACCACTCGAGCAACAGCAGGGGGACAGTTGCAGTTGCCGAGAGTTCGGACCGAATTAGCGAAGAGGAGTTTTCTCTATAGAGCGACTGCAGCGTGGAACCAGCGTATTTCTTCGTAGCATTTCAAATCGTTGTTTTTATCCCGCTGCACTGGAGTACCTTTATTTGTCGCTTTTATTACTGCTTTTATCACATGTATCAAGTGTTTTACTGGTGTGTCTTTATTCATTTATGTGTATGACATGTATGACGTGGCCATGATCTACGCAGTGGGGGTGCCGAATAAATATCTGTATCTGTATCTGTATCTGTATTTCATGACACATGCTTCCAGGGTTGTATACGACTCAATCAATAGCAATCAATTCAATCACGACAAATTTGGGAAACCAATCAAATCAATCAAGTCAGAGCAGTTTTCGGGAATTGATTCAATCGACTCAAACGCGACAATGAAAGGAATCAATCAATTCAATCAAACGACTCAAACCAACACATACATTAGGTTTTTTGCCCCACCAACTTGGAAAAGTGTCCATAGCAGTCTGGTGTACCTACCTACCTACCTTCCTACCTACCTACAGAAGAAACATAAAAATATTGTCATTTAAAATTATAAATTGCCATGCCATTCAAAGTTTCTATGTAATAAGGATGGATACCTAGTGATGGACAGGTGGATCATGATATTGAGGTTCAATGGGTAGAATTGGAGCAGAAGTTTCATTTAATGGGTGCAAAATAACCCAGTAGTTGATTCGCCCCTTAACCCAAATCACCACCTTTCACCTAAAGGTTGTCAATTTAATTTTGGCCATATTCCAACTCCATTTACACTAAATATCAGATATTCCGGTTGAAAGTTGGCTGCTCGGATTTTGGCAGTGTTCGTGATTTGGACAATTTACCCTACACCACGTCTATTTTAATGGATAATATGCATCAATAACATATTAACCATAGGGAAATAGAAATAAATATCTTACCTGCATGTGACGGTTTCGGTTAGACAGAGACTGACGGGCAGCCTGAAAAATCTTTCCACACAATGTGCATTTGAGGCGTGGGATGTTGTCAGATTGGGAAGGAAGAGATTTGAAGTATTTAGCAGTCCACGACTCTGGACGTGGCATGTCAATGTTAGGTACCTATGTGAAGAATTCAAAACATCTAATTGCAATACAATTTGAAACTGTTAGGACTGGGGGATACCTAAGGATGAGGATTAAAAATATATTTAAAAGGAAATGGAGAGGACAGGGACTCTGGAACCACAGGATAAGATAAGAACAAAGGAAGCAGGAACAAAGAAAATTAAAACGCGAAAACGGCACGGTGCGACTGCGAATAAAAGAAAACGTTTTGCCAATAAGTATGCTAAGCTTTTATAAATCCTTATTCTACGTGTTTTGATTTTTTTGTAAGATGACGTCATTGATTATCATGTACTATGGTAGATCATCATAAAATAAATCGGTTGTACAACACCAATTTCGTTTTAATTATTATTTCATTTGAAATAAAACCACTTAATAATATTCGGTAAAATATTTTAAGGAAAATGAAATATATTAGATATGTTATGCTTAGGCTCTCAGGAGAAAAGGATCAACAAACGTTCTGCTGCAATTTAAACAATGCAGCAAATTAGCTATTAATTGGTATACGTAAACGTAATTAGCGAGACGAAAACGGCACTTTTGTTTCAGTTATTTTTGTAGGGGTTTCAGATATTTATAGAGTTCAGTGGGTTGTTTCTGAGTAGATGTGGAGATGTGAATTATTAATTAATCACACTTTATTAGTATATAGAGCCTTGCACTTTATCATCTGGATTAAAAAAAACGTTTCCTGCTGAGTGCAGAAAGGTAGGTAGGTGCATCGCCAGGTTCTATCACCAGGATTGGAGCAGTTATGAGTTATTGCAGTTGAAAGTCAAAGTTGGCTGTTCATGTTTAGGCCCTGTTCTTTATTTGGCCATCTACCCCATATTGCAGTTGTGATGACAATTGACAAGCAGTTTTCAGTGTAGTTTTGTGATCTTTGATATCATCAATTGGTGTCATTATTTTTCATCAACTAAAACTTATTTGAACTTTCCATTCAATCGACTCAATCGTACGAGTCACTCTAATTTTCGGGAATCAGATCAGTCAACCAGTCGCTAAAGTCAAACGAGTCAGTCAACCAGTCATCTCGAAAAGTCAATCGACTCAATCCAATCAACTCAAAATACGCGTTGAAACAAATCAATCAATTCAATCGACTTGATTGGTATACAACCCTGCATGCTTCTCATGAATCCCGTGCTTCGTTCATTGCACGAGACATGACACCGAAATAATAGTGATATTAACCAATGTCGCATTGGAACACTGGGACACCTACAGCCAGCTCTCATTGGTTTCATGGCTTCATGTGTAGCTATGATGCATAAATTACGTTACGCCTACTGCAAATATGCATCTTACGAGTGACAAAAAATCAGGCGTCTGACTTCTATGCCAGGACCTGCAACACACGATGCAGTCGTTATTATTCCTGCCAGAACTTTTTTCTCTCCTACCAAGTGCTCTCTCTCCTGCCAGTTGCATGCAGGGAGACACACCCGGTCCGTTTCCGTGGCTGCGCTCGCGCCGGAGAGCGGCGGTATTCGACTGTCGCGGCGCGGTATGTGTGCGGGGCCGGGGCAGCGGCGTGCAGACGTGCATGGCTGCGCCTGTGAGCTGGTGACCGGCCGGCCGGCGGTCATCAATCAGGCGGCCGTGTACCGCTCGTCACGGCGGCGTCAACACGGCGGCGCCGCCAAAGGCCCGCCCGCCGGTCAACACGTGCCACAAGATAACACCAGAAGGGTCATGGACTGAGGCGATTACACGACGCCGATTGCAACTGCATTCTAGCTCTGGAGGCTGACATCTGAGTTATCAAATAACTTCGTGTAGGCATTCTGTATCGGAAACAGAAATACGAATAATGAATGGAAAATAATGAAACAACGCCAGCAATGATAACATTGAATTCAGGGAAATATGTAAGCGTAATCATTCCAATATAATTGTTGAGAGGAATGTCGAGTATATTGTCGCTTGTCATTTCACAAGAAAAGAAAAACTGGCATGCGAATAAGAACAATTCACCTGACGTGAAAATTGAATGACCCATTGCCGTTCGTGCGAGGTTTTTTAACTTTCTTTTTTAACTTTTTCTAACATCCTGCCTTTTCAGCGTTTATTGGTTCGGGGCGTCCTTGCGTGCTCCAGCTTTCATTCATGTCTACCAATATTTCCAGTTTTCAACGCAGCCCTGCCCTCAATTTGGCACTGCTGAGACCGACTATTGTGAGTGTCATGGGTGAGTTTGTCGGTGAAACGTAACGGTTTTGACAGGACAACGGCGAAGGCTATACGATATAAATACACACACCATCGTCCCGGCGGAAAATGCCTGCCTCAGAGGCTCTCATCGCGTAGCGCACGGATTATCCATGAGAAATACTCGGGCATAAGCATCTTACACACCGAGTGCTATGGGGTAAACCGGGGCTAATCTCAAGCCTACTTTACCAGTTATGACGGCTCACGCGATTGCTATCTTAGAGCTAAAGTTTGCGGTACAAGTGCAACATTCATTCCCTTTCAGCGACGTACATTGGGTGTGTCGTCATCGTCATTGGTTTCGGTGGCATTACAGAATCGCTGATAAAAGCATCATAAACAAAAGTGACATGAAATCACATTTTGCTTTTGACTACACTGAAAAAAATAATGACACCTAAAAGGGGTGTTTTTTGAAGCGTACCAAAAACGCGCAGTTTTCTGGAGTCCGATAACACCCGGAATCAGACACTTTCTAGGGTATTATGACACTGGTTGAGGGTGTATTTTTATACCGT